CGAATTCAGTTTCGGGCTACAGCGCTTTTTCTACAAATTTTTAAACTGTAAGTACACTTTTGGGAGCGCCTGTAAATAATACTGTAATCTCTACCAGTAGTTTATTTATAGATATTTTGCATTTGTTGTGAGTTTCTTATTGTAACACCCTCTTTCGGAAATTACATTATTCGCATAATTTTCCCCTCTCGATTTTCGTACGATAGAGTTAGTAAGCAGGGGTATGTACACTGAAGTTCCACTAAATTAGGGATAGCAATTTAACAACGAGTTGGGCCTCTGCTGACCTTGATAATGGCTGCCTCACTACGAGGCATACATTCAATAAGTTTGTGGAAGCATTCTACGGGAATGGCTTGCTAAACATCGGACAGAGATATCCATAATTCAGAAAGAGTCGCTAGTGTTGTGTTATGTGGTTTCACACCTTTCTCCAAAGCATCCGAAAGGTGCTCAATAGGTTTTGAGTCAGGGCTTCTAGGAAGCCAATTCGTGACAGAGAAGTCATCCAACCAGGCGGTGTCTGCCGAAAACATCGGGGCAAAAACATATCGGACGAAAACATCGCAGAGAAAACAATGCAAGGCGAAAACATCGTGGGAGGAAAGAAAGCCAAGAAAAAACATCGCAGTTCTAAAACATCGCGGTACAAAATCGCAGCAACTCCAAGTACCGAATCATATTCAGTATGAACCATATTGATATTCTATCGATCCCAAGGATCCCAAGGATCTCAAACACTGCCAAGAGCAAACACATCAGACCATTATTGAGCAGCCATGGCCTTGTATAATTCCAGCCTGACATGCAGGATCCATGGCTTCATGAGCCTGAGGGCATATTCTCAGACTCCCGTCCGTGTTAAGTAGTCGGAATCAAAACTCATCACTCTATGCTACTCGGTTCTAGTCCTGTAGAGTCTATTCTTTCTGTTCCTCTTCCCCAGGCAAGAAGTGTAGCTCGATGGCATGCACTGAGTAATGGTACTCTCGTGACTCTACAGCTCCCGAAGCTCATATGATGAAGCGAGCGTTGCACGATCCGTTTACTGACTATACGACTGGCGCCCTGATTCAGCTGGGGAAGGGGGATTTGAGCTAATGTTTGGCTTCGCTGGCCCCATGCGTCGGACGTCTACTATCTGTCCTTGACTGAATGTTCTAAATCAAAAGTTTTACCCATACTGGCAAATGAAACGCCTGATTAACAACAATAGTGCCAGCTATATATGCAGTTACCACAACGCCGTCATGTGAGCATAAATGGGGAGCAGCGCTACAAAATTTGTATAGCTATTGTCTGTCCCTAATTCAGTGGCACTTCAGTATACACTAATTATTATGTCATACTATTTCTTATAATATCTAAAAACAGCTGCAGTAAACACTGTCTAAGTAGTAAACACTGTCTTTCTAAAGCGATCACCTCTGCAGGAGAACATAATGATCTGGAATCGTGAAAGGCTGCTTTAGAGAGGTTTCACTTTTAGTCCATAAAGACGAGAGGGAAAGATTACAGAGTCTGTTCGCACAATTTGAGACGATTTTGCTTTGCTATAAAAAAAAATCGTCTTTTAAAGTATAAATTATCATCTGCTAATTGAATGCTTTCATAAAAAATGGAGCTTTTAAAGAAGCAATGGTTGGAAGACTATGTTTATGCTCTTTCCGAAGAAAATTATTCGAATATAGTTATTAAAATCTGTGAAATCCCTGGTTTTTTTATATCCAAAACTACAGTATGTAATACCGTAAACAAGAAAGGAATGAAACACCAAAGTTTGGACACATAAAAAAAAATCCAAGGAACGAACGGAATGTTGCGAATATTGCAAAGGGATATTTAATGTTAAAAATGAAATTTTGCTATGACAAAAGACAGTTGTAAAATCATTAAAATGCTCAGTATCATCTGTAAACAAAATGATTAGTGCTAATTTGAATTTTAAAAAGGCGATGAATCATGGGTCTAATTAAATGACTGCAATAAAAAGAGATCCATTCATTACCTTTAAAGAGCAGGGAAAAAAGAAAAAAGAAAATATAAAACATGGTTCAAAGAATCTAAAGAAAGCTCTTCAATGGGATTTATAATTGTTGCTGGTTTTTCATATAACAGCAAATCAAAAATAAAGAGAGTGGAGAAAAATGTTAAGATCATCTCCACATATTATCAGGAATATATTTTATATCTAGTTTTCACATATATAAATTACATTCTCTTTACAGATAATGCCAAAAATCAGTAGAACTGTATCAAGACAAAGCAGGCAGCCATACGTTCGAAATCCACTTTTAAATTCCTGGAAAAAAATGGATCAAGAAACGGTTAACGAGACCATACTTTTCATCCGTATCTCTGCTAAACTTCCTGATGTATCGCCAATCGATTTCTGCGTTTTTAGACGTTTAAAGAGCGGATTGTCCAAACGTCGACCTACAGCCCTCTTCAAGCTGTTCAAGAGGAATGGGATAAAATACCTATTCCGATACTTTATTTATCTTAGATTTATGGAACTATTTATACTCTTAGTTATTTTTTAAGCGACAAACCTGAAATGAAAAATCCGTTAACGTATGATAACAAGGCAATTGTGAGTTACTTAGCTGATATCTTTGAAAAATTAAATATATTAAATAAACAACTTCAAGGAGCAAATAATACTTATGATGCAAAAGGAAGATATTTGATTTCATTATCTTTGTTGAATTATGTCAGGCATATACTATTTACCACAAAAAGTTTGAAAAGTCTCATTGGGTCCAAAAATGTGACGCGACTACCGCTATACTTGTTATTGTCGATCATCTGAAAATTTTATCGGCTGATTTAAAAGATTTTGTAACTTAAAACAAATTGATTTTCCAACTTGGATGATGCAGCCAATGCTAGTGGATTTGGCTGACATTTCAAATATGCAGTAGAAAGAAGAACTCGCAGAAATTTAAAATGATGAGTCAATTAAAACTTTATTTAATATAAAAGGAGCGATGACATAGCTTTGTGAGGAAACTAGAATCAAGATATCCAAATGCAACAAAAAGAGATATCCAAATGCAAGAGAACTATTGTTACCGTTTCCATCTTCATATTTTACTGAATGCGAATTTAATACCATAAATGATTTGCTGCTGCTAAATAAAATAAAATAAAAAAAATTCGGTTGGATATAATGAAACCGGGAGAACTTGAGACTCAAGTTATCTAAATTGAAATCTGACATATAATTTCTTTGCAGCAAGTATCAAGCGCAGGAAACTCGCTAAATTTAAATAATTAAAAATATTAATACTTAAAATAAAAAAACTTTCACTAAAATGAGTTTTTTCTTGAATTTCAGTTCTCCATGTTTTGAAAGTTCACTTATTGTGCTGCTCATAAAATTTCGTAGTCATTTCTTCCTAAAAGCTATCATTCAAGTTTCTTTCGTGAAAATTTAATTTTTTAAATATTAAAAATTATGTATATGCTAGGGGGAGCCTAAAATTTTTAGAGAGGATTAGGTGGGGCATAGCACAAAAAAGGTTGGGAAACACTGGTTTAGAGCAAGTTGTATTAGAATGAAAATTATAGATAAGTTTCATAATTAAAAAAATAATTTAATTGAATCAGAAAAGTGAAACTGTATTCGTATCAATACACGGATTTATAAATTTTTAACTTTTTTGATATGAACTATTTATTATGCATTCATTGAAAGTAAGACTACGTAAATTCAATCAATACCGCAACCTTCTCGAATGAGAATTATGTATTGAACTGAGATTGGATGAATCATTTACCCTTGGCAACGTTTTATTGACACCGTTTTACTTCGAAGCGTCTTTGCACCGCGAAACCAAACAGCTGTTTTCGATCAGCAGGTGGTTATTTGACGTAGTAAATGAGAGAGTTTAATGACTTCCCAGTATCGAAAAAAATTGGTCAATAAGGCTCCTTGGCTTTGAATTTCATTCAGAACTTTTCCAGCCTGCATTTACTCATTAAAAATGCGCCCCGGCTGCACTTTTCATCACAAATGACAACAGGTTTCGGATAAAATTTTTAACTACCACAATAGTCGATATTACTAATGCGCATGATAAATTTACATCTAATTTTTTAATCCGACAGAAAATTGTTAAAGAAAGATAAAGAAGACAACATTTTTAATGATTGAACCTGCTGCTTGACAACAAATGCGTTTACATTAAGTTGATAGATGCGACAGCATAAATTAAAAAAAAAAAAAAAAATCTGCAGATTTGTCTTAGATATTATGGCATATTTGCGTAGATTTGTTTTATGTTTAAAATTAAAGTTGACTCTACATACCCGCTAGGATAAAGAGAAAGAAACCAAAAATAATCCATTACAGTATTCAGTCTATTGCATACTTAACACGGTTTCACGCGGCTGGTACACAGAAATAAACACATGACAAAATGGACTGCATATTCTTCACTTTTATTTCTTGTTTCCAATGGCAGATTGTGAACAGTTAGAGTGTAACCCAGTCCATTAATCTATACAAGGCCACACGTGGTGGTCTTTTTATTATGGAGGCACAAAATAAGTGGGCCACCATCGCTTCCTATGAAGGGACGGACAGTTACAACCATGCCTTCTCCGGAATTCGAAACCAGGCCCTTCGGTATCGCAGTCAGTTTCCCTAACCACTATACCGACTAGGCGCCTTCTTCACTTTTATTTAATTATGCGAAAATTACTACAACATAACAGGCCATTCCACGGTGCTGTCGCAAGAACAAAGTTCACCACTAGTATTGTTGCTACATGCAACAAGTAGTAAAGAAATTTAAATTCTAAAAGGATAAATCATAGATTTAATACCTTACACGTCCGGTTGCAATGGACAGATGATTCAGCCATCAAACAAATAAACCAAGAGATCTTATTTTTTGTATGCTGCTTGCAATACTCACATGAACACAGTTATTGGAATAATTACCTTACTTTCTAATTTTCGAAAACTAAAACTGGTCCTTATACTAATTTACCTTTAACAGAGATTTTCCAGAAACTTCTGAAATTTTCCTCCAAAGCATATTTGTAGTGGATGATGATTTTTCTACACAATTCCTGTCGGAGGTGTGGGAAAACTGATTCCAAGCTATCCGTCTTTCTTTCCATCAAGCACTCCAACTTGCGCGTATTTAGTTTATAGTGCGTATTTAGTATATATACTGGTGGACAAAGTTAAGAGATGGAAAATATTTTCCCACATTTCTGCTAAAATACCGTCGAAACCTGGACAGTTGGTTGTCATACAATGTTACTGTGGCGCTGGTATTGCTGAGATGAGTTTACATATTCCTGTAGGCGGCGCTACGCCAGCAGGAGGTATAAAAGTCTGCTTCCAGCTGCTCAGCGCATTCCGCTCTGCAATACAGTAGTGATTTTTATTGCCTTTCTTGAATAATCTTATTGTTTTTTTTTCTTTCTTGAATAATCTTGTTGTCCAGAAGACCAGGTCAAGGTCGTCCGAGACACACAACAACTAATGACGACCGGTATTTGGTACTTTCACCCAAGCGCCAGAAGACTTGTACAGCCACACAAGTGTCTCGAAACCTCGCTACTGCCACAGAAACATCAGTTTCAAGGAAGACTGTTGCAAAAGGCTTCATGAGACAGGACTCTATGCCAGAAAGCCCGCTATTTGCATCCCACTCACTCACTCCAACAAAAGAGACTGTTTACAATGGTGCATACAAAACCAACAGTGGACACAGCTTCAGTGTTCACGGATGAGTTCAGATGTCTTCACGGATGAGTCCAGATTCAGTCTACAACTTGATTCTTAGCGATTATTGATATGGAGGGAACCTGGGACCCGATACCATCCTAGCTTTTATTATGGATAAGGATCAATATATGGGTGGTGGAGGTTTAATGGTCTGGGCTGGGATCATGCAAAATACCCGCACACCGCTCCATGTGTTTGACACTGGTTCCGTGAATGCCCAAAGGTAGAGATTGGAGATCCTAGAGCCCTATTTGCGAATTTTCAGGGGTGCTGTTTGCCCTGAGTTCATTTTTATGGAAGCCAGTGCACGACCACATAACGCCCGTGTAATTGATGACTATCTGGAAAGCAAAGATATTCAGCGTATAGATTTGCCAGCCAAATCTCCTGACCTTAATCCTATCGAACATGCTTGAGATGCTCCTGGGAGGGCTATTGCAATTGCTAACACCCACCCAGAATCATTCTGGAGTTAAATACTGCTGTGGTGAATGAGTGGGTGCAACATCCACGGGCACTCTTGACCTCTCTTGTTAACAGAAAGGCTGCTCATTATGCATGTTGTCTGTCTATCAGAGGCGACCACACACCATACTAGCCACATTTTTACTGCCATCTCTCATCCTCAAGTTTAGGCCACATTAGACTTTTGGCCATAACTCAAATGGCATTTTCATCGTTGTTTTGTACTCATCATTGTAATGCAATAAACTATATTAGTATATACTATATACTGGGATTAAGCCTGCAATATTTATATGAATTCAGATAAACACTATTATAAAAAAGATGCTTGGGATGCAGTTTTGGGGGGAAAAAAAAAAAACTGTGTTGTTGAATATAAAATATAAAATCTCTGTTTGAATAATGAGATTCAAGAAGCGAGCTTACTTCCTTCCAAAGAATTCAGTCTCTGAAATGAGTAATTTAGCAGGCAGAAATTTTAAGTGGTGAAAATCTTCGACTATCTTTACAAATTGCAAACAATTTTCCAAAATGTTTAAGTACTAGGCTTTCCCACGAATCTCAGATAAATCTGCGAATTTTGGATACTCTTCTGTTATTTTTTTATTTCAATTATAACTTTTAGATTATTTTTATATTTAATTAATTCAATCTTATTACCCGTCAGAATTTCTGCAAAAATAAATTTCAGTGTAATCTTGCTCCCAAATCCAGACCGGAATTTTGAAAACCTCAGATCCTGATTTTCCGCAGTGGCAAAATGACACGTGTTCCGAGCCGTTACTTTCAAGGGGACCTCAAAATCGTCCTACCATATTTATAGTATGTAATATTTTCCCCTAGTTCTCAGTTTTGAAAATCTGATGTGGACACCACACGACTTCCTTGCACCGCCTATTAAATTATGCACATTTTTTGCTGCATTTCATTTACGAGGAAATAAGTTTCATCCTTTCTTGGAGGTATATTTCTTATTCAATTAACTCACTGCTCACATCGTGACAAGGCAAAAATGCATAAATACTTCAAATATCTTCATTAAAAATTGAAAAGTATGGTAAAACATAAAACACTAGATACAGTTAAAACAATTAAAAAAATTACAATTAAAATTAGAGTTTCTACGCAAAATCAAGCAATTCGGCCGGCAGGCTACAAGGCAGATTTTTCAGAGCACAGAACTGAAAGTTTACGTTTGGTTCCACTCGGCAAAAAGACACTGAAGGTGCAGAAACTGACTTAATTCACTATCCTGCTAAGTTTCAAATGTAAACAAATATGGCTGTTCCATTAGGATTAGCCGCACTTAAACAAATCTTAAATTGTTGATAATTCTACAACTATTGTATGCAGATTAACTAAAGGCATAAAAACCATAACTGGAACATAAGAACAACATAATTCAGTCATTTTTAACGCAAAAAATGCGCAATTTACCAACATATAAGAATTAAAAAAAAAACTGAGTTCACCAAGCCGATATATAACCCCTTCTAAGATCCCCACCATGATTCCAAATAATTTTAATCTTCTGTGGAGATGATCGTCTTGGAAGTGTACTTTCAGTATCAATATTCTCAGTAGTATTCGTTTTTCTGAGGGGTTGTCTGGTCATCTTATGGAGTTGATCGTCACGGCAAGGTTCACTTTATTTTTGTTACTTGTTTTGATTTTCATGCTTAAATTTATATTAAAATCATAAACAAAATAAAAGTCATTTATTAGTTCGTTAAAACAAAATTTCAAAATCCTTGTTAAAATTTTAGTTAATTAGTTTCAGCTAGTTGTAAATAGAATGACTTCAATCAGCTAAAAAATAACAAGATTGAAAGCAATCCACAAAACACGCCAGTAAAGTTATGGAATGAGGAAACATAAAAAATGTGCAGTGGCCTCGCCGAGATGCGAACGCCGAACCTACCAACTGCTACCCAAATGTACTTTCAATTACACTGCCAAGGCAGGTTGTAATCAAAGAGCAAATACCTTAAAAACTTAAAGTGTAATCATGGTTTTTGAAATTACAACGAAAACCATTTATGCTTTTGCCAGCAATCTGATACACACATACAGTGTTTGGGTAATGAAACTGAAACACTTGACAGATTATCATTCCAGATTTCAAAACAGCTTATCCTTCCAGTTGAGAAGACTACTGGATTTTGAATTTTGTCAACAGCAGGAGAACATGAAGTTTGAAGTTTCAGCTGTTTTAAGGGTACTAACTCCAAAGACTGAGTATTTTAGGATATAAATGAGTAATATATCGGAGTTGAAAAGCAGATGATTTGCTGCTCATTGTCTGGCTTTTAACATCTATCATCAAGATGGCAGGTCTTTTTGATATTTTAAGGATCATCAATAAGACCATCAATAAGACCATCAATAATATATCAGAAAGATTTCTCGTTTTTGGTTACATGTTCTCTGCTCCTCTTGAATTAATACTTACATATCCAGAATAAACGAAGAACTTTGTCCAGTCGCTAGGCTGCTGAAATCAGATATATTTATCAGAAAAGAGCATTGAAGAGTTAAAAGGAACGTAGACAAAAAATATAAAATAACGAAAACTCAAATTACGGTAGAATGTAACGTTTTCATGGGTTCATCTATTCACTCTCAAAACTACCACCAGTCAGGAGGTTTTTATAATTACACCTACGTTAAACTCTGGCTTCACAGATGTCAAGAACAGCAAAAGTTGTTCATTTGTTGTTTTTCATTCTCTACTGTCCAACTTTTGCTGTTGGACAGTAGAGAATGAAAAATATGTATTGTTCAACAGAGCGTCCACTTTAATGGTCTTTTCCACTTCTAGAAAAATTTATGGACACATGACCTGATTGTCTCTTGCCCAGAATGAAGCAAGGATGTGGCTTTTTGATAGCCTGGGACTCAGATGTATCCTAGATATCTCTGAGAATATTAATTGTTCTTACCAGTCACCGATAAAGATTATTGACGCAAGCAGCAGATGCATTTGTTCAAACTTTTTATTTCGAAAGATTTGCCTTGTACTAGGATGACAATGTACAGTTTCAGCATATTCCAGAACTTTCAATATTATTAAATTTCTGTCTGGGATATACTAGACAACTAGAGGACCGCACCGAAGAGCATATTAAAAATGCACTATATTCTAGACAAAGGTAATTTCAGTTTTATTGTTTAAGGTCTTTTTAACACTTTTAGAAATATTTATTCGAAACGTCTGAATTGCACACTTAATAATTTTAAAATATAAATTCATTCGATAGGCCAGAGCAACGTTTCTAAAAACTTTTCATCTTTGCATAACTCTCGAAACTAATTCAGGGAATCCCTGGGTAAACATTAGGTATAATTAGCCCATTCATCGTTTTTTCTAGAGGAGCCCACGAAGATTTCTTTAAAGCAAGATTTCAAAGACTGCCAATTGAGAAATACTGAGTAGGCATTTTGTTAACAAACATTAAGGTTGTGATTATTAAGGGGAGGGGTCGAATTCATCAGTATGCCTTGTAAGTCGCTGTGGTACTGTGGGAAATAAATGCCTTTAGCAAAAAGATGCGTAAACAACTTTTTTTTCTACCCAAGCATTCTTCGTTCGTCTTTCTTTGTCCAAAGAGCTGATGATAATCAAGTGGGCCTAGGCCTCACAAAAAAGAATGATATAGGTATGGACAACAAATCATGCTCAAGGACGAATTGATGGATGGACTTTTAGGGGCAAAAAAGAAAACGAAAAACTTCTTTCTTACCACAATCAGATAACGCAACAAGATACCAACACCTGCAGTGCACAAACAGTTGGACGACAAGGCGTTAATATCAAGCCTTTCTCTCTAAATGTGAAATCGACAAAACGAGTTCTTATCGTAATTTCCTTTGCATAATGTTAATTCTA